CATCAACAATTTGACCATGAATTGTTCGTTTAATAGTAACAAATTGTTTCGTATTTATATAACCAATAGTTGTATGTTTTGATTTATTATTAATTGGTATATTAATATGAAATAATCTCGAAATATTTAAATAAGTATTCTTAATTTCATTACGATCACGTACTGGAAAAATAATTGTTACAGAATATGTTGTTGCATTTAAATTATTAGTATAATTAAGAGTATTATTTAAATCAGATTCATTTATTTGTATTCCAACATCTTTTTGTCCATAACGACGTCCACGATATTGATAAAATGGTACAGAATAAAATTCTTGACGACCAAGTATAGTTGTATCTATCTGACGTAGATATCTATGACGATGTAGTAAATGAGATACACGATGTCGTATCGTACCACCGGCTGTCATTATTGATGATGCATCATCATCTTCTGTCATAGATGATGCCATTGATAAACATCGATTTGTATCATTTAAAATTCTTCTAGTTCCAAACTTTATCGAATGATCTAATAAATAATCACTACTTCTAGCACGTTCTAAACCATATTGATTTCGATTTTTTTTATTTGATAATAAATCATCGAAACTATTTCGACGTGGTCGATCAGTTCCATCCCATTGAATACATATATCACGTACAAGTATTGGTGGTTCACGTTCATGTGTTGCACCTTGTTGATAAATAATCATTTTACACATTAATGGTAAACGTGTTGATGAACCAAGAATATCAAATGTAATCATTTCTGCCATATCAAAATTTTTTTTATCTGTACCAATGCATGGTACTTCCATTTCTTCTTCAAATAAAGTTCTTTCATAATAATCATCTTGTTTGATTGATGAATAACCATCTGTATAAAAAACTTGTCCAAATGTTGGTACAAGAAATTTACTTGTATTTGATTTAAATGGTATTACTGGTAATATTGGTGGTGATGGAAGAGTTTGATGTTGAAGAAGTTGTTCATCACGTTTCCAAAGTGTATATAAATCAATGGAATCACCTTGTCTTTCCATTAAATATAATTTTTTTTTCTCTCAATAAATTATAACAAAGTAAAATATTATCTGAAGAAAAATAACAAAATAAGACGATATATCCCATTAAATAGGCTTTTTTTGTTGATTTTGAAAAAAAAACCGCATTCTTTCTCGTCCTTCTTGTTGTCGAGTGTGATATTCAAAAAAAATGATAACTTGAAAGAGAAGAGAGAAAAAGAATGAATAAAGGTCTATGTGCAGACGTGTTCTCTTCACAAATCTCCTGACATTCATTTCTTTTTTTTTTTTTTTGTTACACACATACACTTGCCTATTGACATAGATACTGATATATATGTATTTGTCTTATCTCATTGTTATATATACTGTTCAACCATAATGCGAACTTGTCAAAGAAAAAAAAAACCATAAGAAGAAATGTAAAAAAAAAAACAAGTTAAGATACTTGTTTTTATGTATTTATAGATTACATATTATCCACATAGACGTCATAAAAAAACATAAGAAGTATATTGATAAATGATTATTTCTTTTGCTCGATTGGTTAATGAACATATTTGATATACACTTGACTATTACAATACTGATATGATTTATTCGTTTTGCATTTTTATACTGGACCACCCACCTTATTTAATCATCAATTCTTTATGTTTGCCATATGTAAATTGACCATGTAAAAAGAGCTGTTTGTTTGATATATGTATACATATAAAAAGTATCCTTAACCTTTTGTTATACATCATTTCAATGTAGGTAGTAGAAGGAGAAACTATGTCGGTTACATTTGTAGTTTAGTATATATTAAAAAATTTAATACTACGTCTGAATGAGACAGAATGAAATTTGCTTGATGGACTCAAATATTAATATTTTAAGCTTATGATCATATTTCGAAGGTAAATTCGATGTTTGTTGATCTACTATCGATTGCTCTTTACTCAATACTTGATGATGATGAAGAATGTAATGGAAATGCAAATATACAAAAAAAGAAAAAAAGAAGAAAATTAATGATTGTTTTTTTTTTTGTTGCTCGTTTTTATGGTCGCATCCATAAAAGATTGGGAAACGATGGTTTATTAATTGTTTGTATTCTTATGGAGAATTATCTGTTTTATATCAGATGTAAAGAAAAAATTACAAAAACATATGTGATTTATTGCTGTTGTAATCTGTTTTTTATTTATTTATTGTTGTGAGATTGATCAATCATAAATATGAATATTTCTTTTTTTTTTCTTGGATCATTCACATTTTATCATAAAGATAGAAATATAGATCATTTGAATTTCTCATAATCTTTCTGTTGAATATATTCATCAGTTTGTTTCACATCCAATGATCTTCTATGTGTATAAATAATACAAATAATTAATTGGATATTTCATAGTATTTATTATTAAAATCAATTTTCATGGCTACAACTGATTGTCGACCATCAAATATCTATCGAATACCGGTTCATCAAAAACGAATTACTGGTCTTGAAAATTATATATCTATTCCATATACTCGTCCTCCTTCACCTATTACAAATGTATATGTATCTCGACGACGTCATTCAACACCTCCAGCAGCAACTCTACGTTTTGTTGAAGTTAAATCACCAGCATCAAATACAGTTATCAAACATTATTATCCAATTGCAAGACCAACACGTATTATTAGAGATCAAAGTTCAACATCTGATTTAGTTAGATCTACTCCTTGTTCAGCTTCATTAATAAAACGACGTTTTCAAGATGAACGTACGGGTCATACAGTAACAACTCCGACAAGTGTTAGTTCAATAACGGATATTATTTTACCAGCAGCTAAAAAAAATCGTAATGCAATTGTTGATACTCCACATAATATCGTATCCGATATTCAATCTCTTAATCATGATTCGTCAACAAAAAAACAATTGAGAAAACGAGAACCAACAATATCACTTAATGTTGGACGTGATATTTTTATTTCGGATGAAGATTCATCACAAGATTCTGTATGTTTAAAAATCTTATAATAAAAAAAAACAAAAAAACAATATTCATTTTTCTATTCTAGGTTTATAAACCACAATCAAATAAATGTTTTAAATGGTATCATCGAAAATGTCCTTGCCGATTTTCATGTTGTAATATTTGTTAATGTCGTTATATTTATCTATTGTGTTTTTGAAGTATATGTTTTCTTATAGTATGTGCATTACTTATTAGTATATTTGTATTCGTAGGATTTCTATTACGTTAATCTGATTATTATTATGTATAAGAAAATTTAATAAATTCACTATTTTCTTAATATACAGAACTAAATCTATCACAATATTTGATTAAGACAAAAAAAGTTAATAAAACTATCAATGATGATTAATAAAATTCATCTTTTAATTTGATTTATTGACACAATTGTAGTAGCATTATTGTATAAAAGAAATTGTATAGTATGTAAAGTTAATTTAAAAATTTATTTGATGTTCGTTCTTGTTTGTTGTAAGAAACAAAATTTAATAAAAATAAAATTTCAAAGAAAAACTTTAATAAATATCGAGCGTTTGATGTTCTCTCTTTTAAAGAAATGTGAACTTTGAAATATTCAGACATTTGATCAAAAATAATAGATGAACCGATTTATGAAACTTATTAGTTAAAATGATGTATATTTAATGAGATATGTAAATCTTTGAATAAGAAAATTTTCAAGGATTCGTTTATATCGTTGATAGAATGAGTCGCAAAATTATTTGATCAGGTTTATTTTCAATTCTTTTTCGTTGTCATATACGCGAATAAGAATTTAAATAATGATTTTAGTAGAGAATTTTATTTGCAACAAGGACGTTTGAAGATGAAAATAATTGCTAGTTTTTCAAGAATAGAATCTCTGGAAAAGCAAAAACAAAGTTTTTCAACTCCTAGAATTCGCTTATAGAGTACTGTTTGAATTATTTCGTATTTTAGAACAAACAATTCTCTACATAATCAGATGTTTTTCAGCTCTTTACAATATTTTTTGACTGAGATAGATCAGTCTTACGGAAGGCACAACTATGGCATTTCCATATAAAAACAGAAAAAAAAACAACTTTTGTGCCTTTTGTAAAGTTGATGTAGGTCAGTCAAAAAAACATTGTATAGAGCTGAAAAATGTGTCATTCTGTAGAGATTTGTTTGCTCTACAATTCTGATTAATTCAAACAGAATTCTATTTGCGAATTGAAGAAGTTGAAAAAGCTTGTTTGTGGGATTTTCGAGAGACTCTACCCTTAGGAAACTAGCAATCATTTTCGTCTTCAAACATTCTTGTCCGAAATAAAAGTCTGTACTAAGTTCATTATTTGGATTCTTATTAACATTTACGACAACGGAAAAAAATTCAAAATAAACCTGATAGAGTAATTTTGAGAATCACTGTATAGTCACATTAGTAAAAAGAATAAAGTGAATCTTGTGTTTTCAAGATTGAAAATAAAGATACAATTAATTTAACTTTTAATGACAAACTATTTTACATTAATTATTAAGGTTGATCATCAAAATTACAAAGAATAAAGTAACAAGAATTGATATATTATTTATCGTTTTGTCTTCGAGAAAACTATAAATCTTATATAACTTTCTTTTAATTTACTAGTTAATTAAACCGTAGAATCAATAAAGTATATTCGAAATACTAAGCATATTGATTCTATTAAATGTATAACACACAACAAAAGAAATTACTTTCTATGTATATATGGAAGTACCCAGTCGACTAGGATACCTTAGTTATATTTTTTAACATTGCTTAAACTGTATATCAGTAAAGTATGATTTTTGTATCAGTTACAGTGTATCCATAATGTCGATGATTTAGTGTTGTTTGGACTCTGTCTCTTCAAAACTACGCGTTTTGTTGAGGTCTTTCTCAAGATCATTTGATCAAAGATACAGCTGCGATTAAAAGATCCTAAGAAAAATGTCGCAATTTGTAAGAGACCGAATCCCAACAACAACAAATGATCATCATTTATGCATGTGCTATAACTCACACAAAAACCGTACTTTTCTAACATACGATTGAGGATATATGAAAAGTAAACGACTGAAGTATTCTAGCTAATTGGATACTTCTATATATATATATATATATATATATAAAGCACATTTTTTTTTCTTATTATGACAAAATTATACAAAAAGAAAAAAAAGCGAATAATGAAAACTAATGCATTATTGTATTTTTTTTTCGGCATAATTAAAAATCAGTAAAACAAGCATTTCTATAGTTTCTTGTTTTTCGTCTTATTGTCTTTCTCTATTCATTGTTTGATTTCTATGTAAGATTTTTTTTTTCAATCACAACATAGTCATTGATGAAACGCGATGACAAGTATTCAACCTATCAATGAAGCACGACATCGTAGTGCTAATGTTAATTCTGTGCCATCATCTTCAGTTCGTTTTTATTCTGCTCGTATAGCTCCAGAAAATACCGGAAATAAATATAAAAAATCAATTGAATCACCATCAATATCACCACGTGATCTTCAAATCGATGAAGAATTATTTAAATTTGATCAATCTCCACCATTATCACCTTCGGCAGAAAGTAAATTAGATTCAATATCTCCTATTTCACCATTAGTCAATGAAAATGATGAAAAACGTGTTAAAATATCTGAATATCGCACACCTGAAAATACACCATTTAAACCTTTAACATCAAAATTTTCAAGAAAAAAATTACATTGGTATATTCTTCTTACACCACGTACAATTTTTTCAATATCATTATTAACAATTCTTTCATTAATTATTGTTCTTATTGGTTTTGGTATTGCAGTATCAAATCGACAAGCACAATTAAATTATCAATGTCCAGTATTATCATATTGTCCAAAAAATTCAAGTTATACTGTTTTATGTAATATGACAAATGAATATTGTAGATGTTATAATGCAGAAGATAATCTTATTGGTTGTTTAAAACAACGACATTATGGACAAGGTTGTTATCGTTCACAAGAATGTTCAAATCGTGATAATCTTCAATGTAATATGAGTCTATATCAATGTCAATGTCTTGATCATTATATATATAATGGAAGTTTATGTGTACCAATGTTAACATATGGTGACATATGTTCAATATTAAATGATACATGTGATAATTTATTAAATTTAACATGTTTATCGGGAAATGTTTGTACATGTAATACAAATATTACATTTTGGAATGGACAATATTGTGAATTATATCGTTCTATTAATTATCCATGTGATCCACATAAAACTTTATCAGGTTGTTCAAAAACATTTATATGTGATAATATAACAGCAATATGTAAATGTCCATCATCAACTTATTTTGATGGTGAAATATGTTTATCATATAGGTCATATTTAGAACCATGTTATGATACATCATCTTGTTTACTAAATACGCAATTATCATGTTCATGGGGTTTATGTCAATGTAATGATTTGTATTATTATTGGTCACCATCAACTTTGACATGTATATATCCAAAACAAATTCAATATAATTCTTCATGTGATTATCAAACAGGTTGTGAAAGTGATTATGGTTTACGTTGTATAAATAATCGATGTGTATGTGAAGTAAATTCGTATTGGACACCAGGTAATTATTGTGATTTTCAATCACAATATAATGAACAATGTTTAACTGCTCCTTGTCTTTCTAATACTGGACTTATATGTTCATCAAATACATCAACATGTACATGTCCACAATGTAAGTTTAAATATTTTTTTCTAAAGTCTGAATATAATACATAATGTATAAGATTAATCGATAGGAGAGTGAACTTGAAATTTTGAATTTTACCAACAACAAAAAACAAAAAATCGGAATTTTTCTTTTTGAAGAATGAATATCTTCAGTAGAATAGATATGAAAGTATGTTTTCTTTTATTATTTTATCTAGATTATTATTGGGATAATTATGTATGTCAATATCAACGTACACATTCAGGATTTTGTTTATATGATGGTTGGTGTCGTACAGATATTGGTTTACGTTGTCGAAATTTTGCATGTACATGTTCATTATGTACAACATGTTTTTGGGATGGTATACGTTGTCGTGATTGTCCAACATCATGGCAAATTGTTATATCAAATGGTACAATACAACCACGTATTTATTGTTATGTTAAAGTTGATTATTATGTTAATTGGAATGAATCATTAAATAATTGTTCAACAGCAGCAACATCATATTTTGGTAGTAAAAGTCATTTAGTTTATATTGATGATTTACAAGAACTTCAAGATATAAGTACATTTGCAACAACACAATATTATGATATATTTATTGGTCATACAAATCGTTATAATTATAGTCAATGGTTTTTTTCTAATGGAACATCATCACCAACATTTACATGGTGTTCAGGTGTAGCAACAACATTTTCATCATTAAAATGTACTCGTTTACTTATTAGTTCGGTTTGTGTAACGGATATAACATGTTATGGATGGACTTCACGATATATTTGTGAACTTGATTGAAATAAAAGTAAAAACAATAAACAATAATAATTAGATTGACATTACGTTTATTTATTTTTTTAAGAGACAAATTAATAAGCAACAATAAATAAATTTGTAGTTGTGGTTAATTCATTCGCCTATTTTTTGGTAATTATCAAAGTATTATAGAATAAATTCGTTTTCGAATATTTTATCAAACGAGATTTTTTATTTGAATTAAACATCTGACAGGTTTTTTTTTTCAATCAAATATTGACTACTATCAAAATCCAGAGTTTTCGTATTGACCTATTATGCTTCATAATATCCGATATATCGTCAAATTTATGTCTACAATTGTTTCGAAAAGGTTAACAGAAATATCTTCTCTGAAAATTAATTATATTAGATTTCTTTTTGACAACATCTTTCAAACTACAAATGGATTGTCCATTATTCGCTTAGATTAGATCAATTTTGTTATATAAACATTAAATTGATTTTGCTTTCTTCTCTTTTGTTTCAATACATTTTCGTTGTTTGTACTCATAGAATCAATACGTTGAACCTTCGTCAATAATACATATATATATAATTTACGTAAAAAAACGTCAAGCACTGTTCAAAACATAAGTTTCGGCAATCACCAACGGTCCACTGCAAAAATCCGTATTGCAAACTTTCTGTTTCTCTTTCATTATTATTGAATCTTTTAACAATCTGTATTTTCTGTGTTAGATTTTCATTCTGATAAACTAACAATTTTTCAGATCATTCATAAAATTAACGAAACAAGTTTCTTATTAAGTTGAATTCAAAGAATGTCTTTCTTCTAATATAGATGTAGAAAATCTATAAATAATCGATTTCATAGTTTTTCTCTAGGTTTATTCTATAAAAAGAAAAAAAACTCAGTTTTGAAATCAAATATAAAAATAAAAAATTAATAATCAATAAATATTATGGAAAACATAATAATTTGAGTTCTTTAATTGATTCAATAACAACATCTAATTCATGTTGCATTGTTTCATGTGGTGTATCTTCAGCAATAATTGCTTTAAGATCATCGAATTGAAAACGAAGTTTATCAATTTGTTTATGAATTTCTTCTAAATATCTCATTGTACTTGTTGGATCTCGTCTGTATTCGAGAAATTTAATCAAACCAAGTGCAATTAAACCAGCTAATAACATTGACATTCCAATAATATATATAAATATATGCCAATTTGTATTTGGTAATAAAACAGTTAAGACTCGACCGAATATAACAAGTGCAACACCAATAATAGATAAAATAATACCCCATTTATTAACTTCACACCAAAAATAAGTTGAATGAAATTGAGTTAATTTACCTTGTAATAATTGAGATTGTTCAATTAATTTTTTAAATGTAAGTTCATCAGTTTTTTCATTTAAATGATTAATAAGTGATGTAGTTGGTTGTAATTTAAATTTTCGATAACGTATTTCCATATTTCCTGCTGCTTGATAAGTCGAATGACGTACATCAGTAAAATCATTTTTAATTGAAAATAATGCATCTTTATCAGCACCAGTTAATTGTGGTGATAATGTTTCAAAATATTGTTCAAATTTAGTTATTGCATTACGAGCTAATTGAATTGAATAAGAAAAATTACTTGAAGATCCCGGACGATTCCAACGAGATTCTAATAGATCAACAATCGCTTGCCATTGTTCAGACGTAAAAAGAGGACTTGTCATGTTTTGATTTTAATTGAATCTTACAGCTGAAATATAAATAATTTTATATATATTATGACTTGATTGATATTCTCATTTAGTTTTATTTTTGTATGACGATAAAGAATCAGTGAAAGAGTAGATCAAATTATTACTATATTAATTGTAGAAAACGTATATGGTCGTATTATTTGATCCCAAAATTGGAAGCGCATCTCATCGTGTCGTTTTTGACGTGTACCAGGGTTGGAACCGGTCCGGCAAACCGGTACCGGTCCGGCCGGACCGGTACCGGACCGGACCGGACCGGTTGAAGAAATCGACCGGGCCGGTAAAGACCGGAATTTTACCGGTTGAAAGTTTTCAGAAATCTTCTTTGTTAACCCTGTTTTTGACCATAAAAACTAAGGTATCACATGTTTTTTCTGTCAGAATACGTGAAAAAGTACTCAAAATATATGTTATATTAATCGTTTTTTCTGAGGTTCTCTTTAAAAAGATTTATTATGATGAGTGCCTTTTACATGCGCCTTAAACTATTTCATATTTGGAGCCATTTTTTCTAAAAATAGGTTTTCAAAAAAAAATTCGACATTTTTTCACCGGTTTTTAACCGATTTTCACCGGAATTTCACCGGTTGGACATGTGATTCCAACCGGCCGGTTTCCGGCCGGACCGGACCGGTAGGATTTTTCAGCCGGCCGGACCGGACCGTTTTAATATTTCTCAACCGGTTCCACCCCTGACGTGTACGCGACCAATGTGAACGACCGCATTCACCTAAGTCCAGAAAAACAACATCATAAACGATCGCAAACGATATTAAACTGCAAAAATCGGCGTTTCACCGATTTCCTTCAGCTCATAAAACGTTGAAAATAGTAGAAGATACGATGACCGTTGGCCAAAGAAAAAACGAACTGACGTATTATGGTGAAATACGGTAAAGATTAATGCGGTAATATACCGTTTAAGACGCTCTTTCCGACAGTCCGCATGATCTTCCTTGGCGGTTGCAACCTATGTAGTATGCTACACCTTATTCAACTAAGCTTCTTCTTACTCAAGAGGAGGAACCACGTTCTTCTCTCGTTTTCTGCCGTCAGCATAAATACATGAAAGATCATTCTTTGTTTAAAATGAATTCTTACTGCTTATTCGGTTGTTTGAAATAATCTAATTCCTGGTCGAAGAATTCGATTGGCATACGGAAGTTTATACAATGATATACGACACATTAATGGAACCGTATTTCCTCGTAAATACATGATCAATAATACGGCTATATGTATTATAGAAGACTGGAATACAACGACATCTTTGCAGTGTTTTATTGTACGAATACGATGTCGTATACGTAGGAGTACAATAAATCCAAGACCTTGAGATTTGATGCAGAAAGATTTGAGTTTAATTTAGACTTGGATTTGGATTTGGTCTTAAATTACAAAAATCTGATGAGACTCTGTAAGATGAAGTACCAGAAGAGAGAAAAGAATCGTAAACTGTCGAAATTGATATGAAATAGTTTGAATTTGGTTTTATTCTAACGTAACTTCAAAGTTGGGATCATGTAAGTCTAAAATCCAAATCCCAAATCTATTAGAGATTTGGTACACTCTTACGTATACGGACAGTTATACTGAGTCTCTTATAGTGACATTTTACAGTAATTTATGGTAATGCATAACAATTAAAGTGGGAATAAAATGAACTAAGGTCGAACAAGAACGTTAGTAAACGACTGTAAATCATTATATATTGGTTGGGGAGATCTCAAGGACTTATAAAAATTTCAAAAAAGTTCCATTAAAATTGATGAAAGACACAAAAATTAATATATTTCAAATTAATCGATTAAAACAGACATTATCATCAATTAAATTCTATGATTTCGATTAAAAGCCAAATTTATTGCATTTGCTGCATTAAAATGTCACTTTTAATCAATGAATTTTAAATACATAAATTTTCATGTCCGTTTCATCATCGACAATGCAAGTTTTTTTACGTTTTTGATATAAAATTCAGGAAAGTCGTGGATTTTTTTTCATTTTTTAAACTCATGGGAGACGATCGTTTACAGAGTCCATATATGACTTTCATTTTACTCAGTATTTCGCCGTAAAAGATCATAGTTCTTCGTACATGACATGCAGAAATATGATCGTAATATTGAGCACTAATTCAATGACTCCGATAGATTCTCACTGGAGAGACGCTGTTCCCTACGAGAAAACTCCGGAAAATGGTAGAAAATTCGAAGCAGGAATCTAGCGATCGAATTCGATGGCTGAATTTTTCTAGTTCAAACCAGAACCTATCGTAATCTGGCAGAGCCGGTCACTAGATCTAATCACCAGACATCTGTTTTCAAGTTCCTACCGTTTTTTAACCGTAATCGGCTCGTATTTTTTGACGTAGGATTACATAATATGCCAAAATGCGGCCGTATACAGATTTTGCATTTTTCGTCCCACAAAATTATTTAAAATGAATTCTTACCATTGAATTAAAACTGTAAAAGCTAAGTGCTTGATAAATGCAACCTAAATAATATCTAACTTACTATCATGTGCGACCGTATCTTTTCAATCTATGCTAGTAGATGAATTCCAGTTAAAAACTTTGACATGAATAATCAACACAAAAATGGTTATAATAAATAAAAATTTCTTTAGAAATCGGAATATTATCGACTAAAAACAATTATATGATTACAAACCTAACGATTATATTCATTTACTATAAACATTTCAAACTGATGATAATATAACAGATTTTTATTCTAAATAATCGGTTAAGCCTTTCCTACTTTTTCCAGAGTTTCTGAAGAAAGGTACCCTAAAAAATCCATGTTTTTTTTCGTAAGAGCTATCAAAACTCAGCAGGGCAATATTTTTTGAGACAGCACAAAAGAAAACCATCCAGAACAATGTCTAGTATACGTGAAAAACAGTTCAGTTCGATCGGACGTATTAGACCAGAGAAATGGAGATGTTTCTGCACTTTTTTTTCATGCAAACAATTGGTTTGAAAAAACACGCAATTCGCTATTTCCGTTACGTAAATTTGTTTTTTTAACGTTTAAATACAATTTCTGAATATGAAAATGCACTCAGTAGATAGATACTAAGTCACATTGTACAGTGACCATAAAAAACCTAAAATTTAGGATCACGAAACGGGAGTCTCCCTTTAAAGAAAGATTATTTTTTGATTAGATGTCATATAGAAATTGTATTCATTTTTATTCTTTTGCAAAAACTGAAAGAAATTGTATGTTCAGACAATTTTCTTTGTATAAAAAATACTTTCAATTCAAAATTTAAAAATAACACTTTATAAAAAAAAAGACTATACTTCTTACCTTCTACACAATGTAAGCTATTTATATTCTGTTTTTTTATTAAAACTTTTAAATATAAATTTTAAGTCAAAGTTCAAATTTTTGAAAGACAACTATAAAAAATATTATTCTTACTTTCAATAGACGACAAATACGTTTCATTTACAATGACATTCTTTCTTACGTGGCGCTAAAATGGTGAGCAATGATGACGTTTAAAAATTGCACAATTACATTGAAAGAACCATTGATGACGTGAATTTTTTTTATTCTACTCAGTCTTATCGCAGTAAATATACAGAAAAAACAAAGAAAAGGAAAGAGAGTAAAATGGGAGAGCGACAAGAAGTAAATGTTATGAAAAATTTATTGTTTATTGTTTATACGCAGAATTTTCTCAGCAACCAACTTAACGTGATGTTGCTGGCGGTGTTATTGCTGCTTGATCTACAGATTTTGTTAATGATTTCTTATGATCAGCACTTTCAGTAATAGCCGATTCTATACCGAAAAAAAGAACCTTTAAAAAAAAAAGAAATTTAAGAATATCTATTTCGTACCCGATTTTGCTAATTGATGTAAAGTCATTGGTGTTGAATTGGAAAGACAGGGACGTCCACTAATATTACCATGATTAGACTCATATGTACCATATTCTTGATATTTAATTAAACGTGATGTTTTAAATGCTTGTTGGTTCATATCCCATTGTCTCATTCGTCTAATAGAAAGAAAAAAAAACAAAATCAATAGAATTTATGTTTATTTTGAATACATACGAACGAAAATCTTGATTTTGATTTCGTTCCCAATTTTGACAACTGAAATCAAAATGAGCACCTGCTGTACGACCTTTTGAAATATGTTTATCTGTCTAAAATTTTTATTAATAAATTTAAAAAGAATATTTTGTTAGAAAAAAAAAAGAACAATTCAATTTACTTTCGGTTCAAATGCTTGAGATGAAAGAGGATCAATACCAGGTAAATGTCGACTTCTTATTTCTTTAATTTAATAAAATAAACAACAAAATAAATCATCTTTTTTTTAAATAAGACAAACCTGCTGGTGAAGTAACATCAGGTAGTTCATCAATAACGGCACGTGTACTTTTATCCCAAGGTCGATCTAAGACAAATTTCTTATATACATATACAGACAAAAAACATAGGTACAAATTGTTTTACCTCCAAATACTGAATCAGATTGTAAACGAACTACAGCAGCAGGAATAGTCGATTGTCGAATTTGAAGTACACGCTAGCAAAAAAAAAATAATAATAATAAAGATTTATTTAAGATTTAAATTCATATTAAACTTACTCGTGCATTTTTAAGAACTTGTAGATTATTCATTTTAATCTTCAAAAAAAAAACAACAACACAAGATCTCATTTGTAGTAGTTTTACATTAAATACAGTAAAAAATATTTTTATTAAACTTTTTAGATATAAAAAAAGAATATGATTAGTGTCTACTGTTTTAAAAATATTCAATTTTTTCTTTGATTAGAATCAGGTGCATCTATTGAACTACGAGCTTTTCCTTATGATAGATTATTTTCGACAACTTCATTTAATTTACTCCAAACTTTTCGTATCGTACCTAAAGTATAAAACAGAAATATGTATTTAAGATTTATAATTATTTATTTACCAGATTGTTTGTATTATCAGTTGTTGACAATCTTCGTTTTTTATCATCATTACTATTTTTTAATTTGATCGTTCTTCGCCTATTAAGAAATATTTAAATTCGACGCAAATAGAAAACTAGATGGAAATCATTCAAATGGAATATTATACAATAAAATGAAACTAATTTTATACACATTTCTTATGCGTAGATATTCATAAGACATAAATAGTTTATTTTTCAAAATAATATTTTTTCTGTAAAAATCTATATTCGATATGCATCGCATCCAAACGTTCGGGTTCGATCTTTACTGCGGTCGTTATCAGTTAATTAATAAAAGAAAGCAGAAGTAAGCCAAAAAAAAATGGATTTCACGCTTGGCTATAATAGATCTACACCTAATAGAATAAATGATCCAAAAATCGAAAGTCTGCAGACGTCCAAAAAAAAGCAAACAATCGTCAGAAATACTCGAATCTGAACTTAATCGAACCTTACGATACTTCCATGATTGTCGATAAACTTCAAGAAATGCTTGGACAATTACTCACGACAGTGTCAAGCCTGATAGGATAGTTTCCAAACCCGAACACCGAGCTAGTCCTAGTTCGATGCATGCCTAATCTACATGGATTGATATTGGTAACTTCAATGAAATGTTAGATATCATGAAAAATGATTGTGTTGATTTTCATTTTTTTTTCTTTGACTTATTAATTCATCTTTATTGAGAATCAGTCTAGGTATTGATCTAAATCAAAATTTACTTTTTTTTTTAATAGCAAATTTTATTCTTTAATGTCTTCAGTATACATTTAATAAAGATTCGATTAATATTTAATTATATTTCCATTCCGTTTCATCCATAAGAATAACTCAAAACATCAAACAATAAATTCTACAAAGTAAAGTCTTTCAAAAACTAAACCTAATTTATTGACCTGATATCAGTCTCTAATTTATACTATAAGGACTATATTTTGAACATTTTACAAAATTCATAACTATCGACGATTTTATCATAGTCATTGTTTTTGATGGTCATTCTAGCCTTAAAAAGCTGTTACCATAATCTCTGCAATGGATCTGTTGTTGCTAATCAGAGGGATATTGTTTTATTCTATACATCTTGGAACACACTTCTTCACCTTCCTTTTAGATCTTACTTCACAAAATCATATCTAACTAGTGAAAAAAAAGATCGAACACAATTGATTAATACTTTTTTCGTTTTAATATCCATATTTTTTTCATCATATAAAATGTATTGTTAACATGTTTTTCCAATAAATCAATACAATGCTGAACTTTTATGATTTTTCGGTGAAGTTGATGAACATGGATCACTACCGTCCAATTGAATTTGTTGTATAATTAATCAAGGACATACATGCATTTTACTATCTTTTCATAAATTTAATCATTTTAAGAAAAAAATGCAATATACACTGGTAATCATTATTAATCGACGTATTACTTATCATATTTCTGAAATATTTTCAAGAAATAAAAGAAAAAATAATCAAATGAAAATTCTCAAAAGAAACAAAAAAGAAATATTTCTTTTTATTTAATAAATGACGGAAAATAAGTACAGTGGTAAATTTGACAAATATTTACAAGGATATAGTTCTTTTTCTTTTATATATACATATATATATATATATATCATTATAATCAACGTAGTTGTTGATATTGATTTCGAATATGATTTAAAAAATTCAATATTTCTTCATTATTAGGTAATTGTATGTGGAAATATTTTCCAATCATAATTATAAGAAATATAAGAAATAATAAATTAAAATGTGTTATAATTAAATGTAATATAAGTATAAGTATATTAAATAAAACAATAACTAAACAAATAATTATTGTTAAAAGATTTATATCCGATGGACGACGTTTATAACAAATAAGAAAAAAATAAATACCAATAAATACTATTCGAAATAATGTCGTTAATGGTGAAAAATCAAATAAAAATTTTGTTAATGTTTCAATAAATGATGGTAACCATTGTTTAAAAAAAACTGATAAAAATGAAATAATTATATAAGAAAAAATTGAACCAAAAAAAATTAATGTTGAAATTGTTAATAAAACAAATAAACATATATATAAAGTTTTTTTTAATTCAAATAATTCTGTTTCTAATATATGTATACGACGATATAAATTTGATAAATGTTTTTCTAATTGTTGTTCATCAAAAGAGATTCTATTTGTTGTTGAATTATTTAAAATTGATGTTGATGAAATATTCATTAAATTTTCTTCTTCTTCAGGACTTATTAATGAATGTTTGAGACAATTATTTCGAATATGTATAGAAAAATTACCTCGATATAATGTTTGTTTACAAACATTACATTGAACCTAGAAATAAAGAAATTTATATATGAAAAAATGTTACAAATAAAAAAAAATCAGGATAGGATTAAAATGCTTACGAACGAACTAATCCAGGTGACACTTACCCGTTTGAGCTCATATGGAAGGTTTCAGTGAGACTAGCAAATGCGCTTAAAGGAATTTGTGCCCATGGGCTTTTAAAGTCAAGTTAGGTATAATAATGATTCTTAGAATATTCTGAAAGTTTCAGCTAAAAAGAATGTTCCTTTGTCCAGATATTAAATCTTTACATAAACTTGATTTTTGTGACATGCGCTTGTAACAAGCGATTATTTTTAAATAATTCAATATCTTGACAAAGGAACATGCTTTTCAGCTGAAACTTTCAGGATATTTCAAAGATCCTTAGACCTATCTATAGGCAATATTTCATGTCAAAATATTATTATAGAACTTTTTGTAAATATCTAAGAATTCGTTGAAAATTCAGTAAAATAATTTTAAACTTGGCTCCAAAAGCCCATGGAAATAAATCCTTTAAGGCTTCTGATAGTCTCACTGAGAACTTCATGTGGGTCTAATATGTGCTCAAACGGTGAGTGTCATCTGTGGTAGTTTCCTCGTTAGCAAAAGAAATAAAATAAAATGACAGTGAAGTTTGTGAGGGTACTTCAATCGAGTGACAGGACGTTTTCAAATGAATATACTTATACTGATCGGTGGTTACACTGCTAATATATTAAAAGAGAAAAATAACCAAATGAGTATATATTAACAATCAAAGGGACTATTTAAAAATTCTGATTAGATTGTCTAGCAAGTAGATGAGGTTTGCTTAAAGGTATCTCCCGTCTTTTTCAACCGTTTCTGGTTCATGAAACCAGTCCAACCGATCAAACTGAAATGTTCAGTTCTAATACTTAGAAGTATTCTTCAGAGGTAAAATCGACCGTTTTCGTTTTTGACTTTTCTACCTGGATTTACAAGAATCCTGAGAGCCATGATTCCCATTTTGGCTCACAACCTTAACGCATTTCTTTCACAGAAAAAAAAGTGAAAGTTTTGGAAAAGCTTGAAAATATCTCTAAGATATAGTTACCATTTTTGAGAACCAAAAACGGTGAAAAAAGAGGTATAAGGTACCTTTAATTGGGTTTCATTAGAAAAATATCTACGGACTCAAATTCCATATTATGAATTATAGTCGATCTATATAAGACTGCATGAAAGCTATGCTTTCCAGCATTCTCAAAAACCAGCTCGTCAGAATATTTCGAAAGTTGTTGATCAGACAGATCTTAATTGAGTAGAGCAAAAGTTGTCATAGACTTAAATTCTCGGATGCTGTCCTGTAGGAGATATTGGAATTGCAAGAGCTAAAAATCTTTCCGCCCTTGTTTCTCAGTCAAAAAATGTTTGATAGAGCTAAATATTATTTTTATAGATTTAAGGCACTGCTTGGTTTGTCTATTTCTTTTTTGCTTTCTTTTTATTTCCTTTCATTCACAGCAAAATTCTTCGTACATCCTCAAAAATGTATGTTTTTTTTCTTAAATGGAATTTTTTTAAAAACTCTGGCAAAAACAAGCAGTACATCATATTTTGAAATAAAAACAGAAACTTAAATGGAAACATTTCTCACACTCTTTTCTTGTGTCTAATAACTCATTTTTCGAAAATAGTGAAATAATGTGTAAATTTTAATGTATTTTGGACTACAGAATTTAATCTTAAATTATACATTGAAATTAATTATTTGTTTGATTTTTGCACTAAATGTTTCACTATAATTGTAAGTTAGGACCTAGTCATTAATATTAAACGAAATAATCCAACAATAATTTATGTTCATCAGTTCAGTAATCGATACTTTTAATTGAAAATTTTCAGTTATAACTCTACTATTCTATTCAAGATTAAAATCATTTTTTTCTGAATATATTTCCCAAGGGTTTTATATTTTTGATTAATATTTATAATACCTCAAGTTCATCGAGAATATTTCTTAAAACATGACTTGTTAGTTTTAAATCATTTGGATTAATAATTGATGCTCGACAACAAGGACATTGTTTTAATTTTCTTATACAACGATTACAAAATGAATTTTCACATAAAATATGTGTTTGAGGATCCATTAAAGGATCTAAACATATTGGACATATTAATGATCGTGATATTTTATCTTCATTAATATATGTATAATTATTAGCTAATGCTAATTCACGACTAGTTGTTGTACGAAACATCATTCGTAATTGATTTAATAATGTCGATGGCATATTATACTGTTTTTCAATTATCTTAAAAAGAAAAAGAAAACAACAAACAAACAAACTAATGAAAATTTTTATTTTTATTTTTTATTTCATATTGTTTGACATAAACTACGATATATTGATACAATACAATTAAGATCTATCCATATATAAAGAAATATATCATTTGGTAAACCTTGTTTAAAATATAAATTAAGCCATATTGATAGAATTATAATAAATAATTTAAAAAGAAAAAAAATAAAACGATATTTTAAACCATGCTGTGTACCAATACCATAAATATATAGTGAATAACTAGTAAATATAAGTATTGACATATTACATATAAAATTAATATAATCAAGTATTTGACGTTGTTCATTATATGATAAACAAAATTGACCAGAAAGTTTTTTTGTTGTACATGATATTAATGAATTTTTACTATGAGAATAATTAATAGATGTTATTTGGTTAAATAAACTTTGATTTGTATATATATTTCGAATATCATCTAATTCATCTCTTATTTTTATCATTTCTTTACTTAAATATACAATATCAGATAGACAAAGAAGAAATATTGTACTATAAAAACCAACAATAATACCGAATATAATCGATGTTAAATTAGTTTCATTCATAGATAAACAATATTCTTCTAAAATACAAAAAAAAAAACGAGAATAATTTCTTTTCATACAAAATTCTTTTTTTCTTTCTTTTATCTATTCCATAACCATACGATAGCAAATGAAATAATATACCACAACAAATATACAACGGTAAATGGTTTTAAATATCCAAGTAAATAATGTTCTATGAGAATTCGTATTAGTATTGATGTCATTGCAAGAATAAAAATACAAAAATAATAAAAAACAAAATCTGTTCTAATATATTCTGGTTGATTATTATTGTGAAATAATTCTTCTTCAGAATTTTTAAAACGTTGATTTAATATAAATATTATTAATGATAATATAAAACAAAAATAAATTATCCATGAAAATATATTATACCAATATTCAATTGTATAACAACTATACATTTTTATTGATATTGTTTGATTTAGATCATTATTAAAAAATAAATCATTACTTAAATTAAAACGTTGAGCAACATCTTCAGACCAATTAAATGCAATTAATAATGATGATGATATTAAATCAAATAAATTTTTTAAACTTTCTGGTCGCATTATATAAACAATTGATAATGGTATTATTGAGCCAGCTGTTAAACCATACATAAACATTGGACAACTCATGATCTAATGTGTTTTTTTTTCTATTTAAATCTGAAACAGAAAAAATTAACGAACACAAAAACGAATACATAATAAAACAAAAAGTAGCCAAGCTAAGTTTGAATACTGAAAATGTTTAAGTGATGTATAAAATATCGATATCAATGAATATGATATTATATTTACAATATGTAATAATTTAATAGTTTGTATTGTTGATCTATTTGAAATAGATGACTGAAATAAATAAAGAATAAATGCATAAAGAATAAATGATGATAGATATCTTAAATAAGAAAATATTGTTTGTATGAATAAGATTATTAAGTTGAAAAATGAAAATATTTGTTTAATGTCATAGAATTCTTTTTTTAAATCATTAAATTCATGACGAAGTTCATTTAGTTCATTTAAACATTTAAATAAATCATTTGAATGACTAGAATTTGAAAGATTATTCTTATTTTTACATTTTTGATAATAGATTAATGTTAATATAATAACAATAGTAACTACAATAATTGTTCTTGTTTGAATATGACCTGACATCTAATAGAATAGAAAATACAATAATTAAGTGTTATCTATACCGTCATATAACTTCTAGAAATATATACATTTTTCTAATTTTTTCTATTGTTTTCTTCGAAAAAGATTAGTGAATTTATTTAACCAACCCAATAAACAAATAGAGTGCGCTAGTATCGATAATAATTTTTAAAAAAATAATATTTTATTAGGAATGAATTATTATTCCGTTTATTATCGAAGAATATTTCAAAACAGAAAAAAGAAATTTCTAAAAAAATATACAATTGAACAGAAAACGAGATTACATTAAGTATTGATTGATTGAATGTTAATTGAGAATGTAACTGTTAGTTCTGCTTATTATAATAATGAAGTGAATTGTTATTAGATCATTCAAATTATATTAAAAAATGATTCTATTTAAAAAAAAAGAACTTCTGCCAAATCTAATATTTTTTTTCTATTAATTTAACATGAATTTTTCAATAAAATTCATTTGATTATATAAGAATAAAAATCCTAGAATTTCGTTTATTAATATCAAACATGAAAATATAAATCCTAAGTTAATGATTGGTGTATGATAAATACAAATGATAGTTTAGATGACGTACCTGATAAAACAAAAAAAAATGAATCGTCATATGTTAATATTATAAACTAATTCAACTTGTATTTACTATCATAAGAAAATTTTTATCATATAGTCTTACGAAAGATAACTATGCTTTCGATTATATTAATTTCAATTATTTTTGTTCTCAGTATTATCTGGTTATTCTATCGTCGTAGTTCAAAACAAAATTTTGATATTCCAGGTGTAAATGCATCAGATTCTGAAATGGGTAATCTTGAAGATTTAGGTCGAGCTGGTAGTCTTCATCAATATTTAACTCAATTACATAAAAAATTTGGTCCAATTACTTCATTTTATTGGGGTAAACAACGTGTTGTTAGTATAGCTTCACCAGAAGCTTTTCATGATACACGTCGTTTATTTGATCGACCTGTATCTCTTTTTGCTCAATTTGAACCATTAATGGGTGCTAATAGTATACAATATGCTAATGGTGATATTGGTCGATATCGTCGAAAAAATCATTATGATGCTGCTTTATCACCACTAGCTCTTCGAGCACATTTTTTTGATATATTTCAAAATGTTTTATGTGAAAGAATGACTTTATGGGAATCAATTGGAGAAAAACCTCTTGCATTACATGTTGAAATGTTATCTATGGCAATACAATCAATAACTTTAGCTGCTTTTGGATTATCATTATCAGTTGATGATGGAAAACGTATTGAAGAAGCTTATAATACATGTTGGCATGAAATGGAAATGCGTGCACAAGGTCAAAAAGTAAATTCTGAACGTGAAATTAAATTTAATCAAGCACGAAATTTTTTACTAGAAAAAATTAAAGAAATTGTTATTCAACGACGCCAAAGATTAGGTGATAATTATAAATGTTTTATTGATTATTTATTAGATGATAATGAAAATGTTCCTAATGAACAACATATATGTGATGAAATTATAACTATGCTTGTTGGTGGATTTCATACAACAGGAAATCTTCTTACATGGATCTTATATTATTTAGCGAAAGATGACAATATTCAACAACGTCTTTTTAATGAACTTATACAAACATATAATACAAAATTTCCAACATTTGATCAAATTGATCAAATGTCTTATTTAATGAATATTATTCATGAAGGATTACGTGCTTCAGTATTAGCACCATGGGCAGCTCGAATTTCAATGGATGATAATATAAATATTTGTGGAAAAATTATTCCAGCTGGTACACCAATAATTCAAGCACTTGGTGTTGTTTTACAAGATGATAAACTTTGGATAAATCCATCTGAATTTAATCCAGATCGATTTGATCAAGCAAATAAAAAGAAATTACCAACATTAACTTTTTCACCATTTGGATTTGCTGGTAAACGTATATGTCCTGGTTATCGTTTTGCGGAATATGAAGCCGGCTTATTTCTAGCCGGTATTATACGAACATATAAAGTAACATTAGTTGATCCAACACGTCCAGTAATACCTGTACATGATTTAGTAACATCTCCTAAAGATGAAATTTTTGTAAAATTCAATAAACGAAATTCATAATTTTTATTTTGCTGTAACTGACAAACATTAATTAGCTTGTTAAGTAATTTTTATTAGTGTCTTTTTTTTCTCTTCTTTTAAAAGAAATATTATGATTATACACGCTTATTTATTTCACTAAGTATAGGAATAATTCGAAATTTTTTGTAAACAGTAAAATTTTATACGTAAAGTAAATATTATATGAATGAATAAACGATATCATTTTTTTCGTTGATTGGTGAATATCAAATACGAATAACAAACATTAAAAGAGGTTAATCCAATCCAAATAAAATGAATTAAGTAGTGGTTTTCTTGAAAGCCAATAAATATCGTCTGATGAAATTGATTACATCAGAATTTTTTGTCTTATAATACGTCTCTACAATCGATATTAATATTCTGATTTGTAGTACTATTTTATTAGTCGTTTGTTTTAATTTTAGAAAAATTTTTGATATTATATCATGGTATGTTATAAGTCAGGTAGGTAGTTTTCATATATATTTAATTTATTTATTTGGACCAATAACGTTGTACATATTAGACAATGTATATGTGGTTAGTATTTCATCATCTGATACTTTTCATGACATATGTCATTTGTTTGATTAATATTTTTTTTTTGTTTGGACGTATCTATTCGAATTTAATATATACTAATGATAATATCACTAGAATGTTACTCTTCTAATTGAAGTATTTCATACCTATATGTTAGGAAATACTTTCATTATAATAAAATAGAAAGCAAACCTATACAAATGTTATTCATAAAGAATTTTATTTTTACGGATATTATTATGATTTTCAAAGAATGACTAAATTGCTTAATCTTTTTAAAATATTATCACTGAATTAGTATATGTATTCAGCATGAATACTATAGAAGGTTTAAATTTCATTCGCCGATTATATATTGCGTTTTATAATTAGACGCTTTGTATATAAGATAGAAATACCAATCATTCAAACACTTATTATTGTTTACTTAGTGTGGGGGGTCAAGGTCAATTTGTTTTTTCTCAACAACATAACTTATAATAAATCTTGACAAACTTTGATTTCAATGATTTGTTTTTATTTTTCTAGATCATCAATGGCTGATACAATGAGTGTCTTGGAAATGTTTAGTCCTAATCAAAATATTAGTTTAAAAGAAACAAAAAATTATCGTCAGAATGGTTCTATAAATTCAAATGAAATAACTACTCCATCAATTAAATCATTATCATTATTAGAAAATATAGATAAAAAATCAAATGATTGTTTATCATTAGAACATAATCAATCTGATTCATTATCCGCTTATGAAAAATTAACAACATGGAAAAAATCTATTGAAACATATTTAAATCATATTTATTTCAATAAACTTACAGAAATAGATAATTTATTAGCTCATGGACAAAATCAAATTGATATTATATTTAAAAAAATACCATCATTTGAACAATTAGTTACAATTACAAGTCAACAACAAACTATTGATCATACATATGATGATATTGAACTTGATTATACTAATTCTCAATTATTTGATTTAACAAGTAATAATACATTACTTTGTACATCAAATTATTATGCATTAATTTATGATGACATTACATCAAATTTAATTTTATATAATAATCAATCAAAATTAAATTCATATCTATGGAATATTGATGAATATGGTCAACCATGTGATTTAACATATTCATATTATTTAAATATATATTGTATAATAACAAATCGTGGTTTATTTACATGGTCATATGAAAATCCATTTATACCTTTATATATTGATTCAATAAAACCTATACATGGAAATCGTTTATGGACAATAGCATCAACTGATACACGATCGGATGTATTTATATTATTTAAATCAGGTAATTATATTGAAAGATGGAATTCTAAAATTGATACAAAATCTTGGCAACATATAAAACGTTGGTCAAATCATGAATTATTTGAACGTAATGATCAACGTATCAGAACAATACGAATGACATCAAATTATGTTGCATGGACTGTTGAATCAACAAAAATATTTGAATGGCGAGTAGATTTACTTGATTATAATTTACAAATTATTCGACAAGGTATTAAAATAGATTATTTAAATAAACATTCATCATGTTTATTATCTAATTTTGGTTTGGAACAATATCTTATTGTTGATAGTAATGGACATTTATTATTTTTACTTGATTCAAATGGTTATATTAATTTAAAAAATGATGATATTACAAATAAACGTATTAATAATGCTGTTTTTATGAATAACAATAATCAACAATGGCTTATCGTTCGATTAGAACAACCAAATCAATTGCATTTTATTCCATTATTAAACAAAACAGACAATAAAAAATAAAAACATTTAGTTAGTTGTTTTTGATGTAGATATACGAATTAGAATTTCAACGAACAATTTTGTTTTGTGTCGTCGTTTTCTTTTTTTTTTATTGCTTAATTTTATTTTAAGCACACACACATCTTCACATAAAAAAAAAAATAAATCTTATCACTGCGTTGGTTTTTGCTCTCTCTCTGGAATTGTTGTTTGATATCATATTGACATAAAATATACATCTATGATTACTTTATTTACTTGAAAAGTTTCAACGATGTCGAATGAGAATTCATTGAGATAAGTACAAATATCGAATATCGCAAAATCTTTTGCGACATTCTTTGTTTTGTGTTTAACTCTATTTTTTTCCAAAAGATACGTCATCGAATGTTCTACTCGGATTATAGGATCAAATCTTTATAGCTATTTGTGATATTTTAATTGACCATTAACATTAAATAAGTGTATCATTCTACAAAGAAAAATTGGAAAAGTTCATTTTTTGATTAACAACTAAAGTCATTTTTCAATCAAATCAATGTTAGATAAAATGGCCTGTCTCGAACATTGTAAAAAAAAATCGAAACATTCATCACTCCACCAATACTTCCTATGAAATCAGTACTGATGTCTCCTCAGCGTATTTTCATTAACTTCAGTTAAAGCCAAGTTCTCATTGTATTATTTTGTTAAGCTTAGTACCTTTTTTTTTTACTTTTTCTTTCAACAATCGAGGAAGTTTAATCTAGCGATTTGTGTATCGAACTCAGTGGTTTTAAACAATGTTCTTGAGAGCAATATAGCAACGAATGTTCTATTTCCTGGCGGGGCATTCAAATCGATTGACCCAGACATTATTTTTCATTTGTATTCGAGATGAGGATGAGAAGTAGACTGCTGCAAAATGGTCACGGTCACCCCTGACCTTGACTGTCACTGAAGAAATCCGAGTAAAAAAAGTTGCAAGAGAACAATAGCATATCTTCTTCCTATTTTAATTGAAAAATAAGAAATTGAAGTTATTCATTATGTTCATGTTTCTTATTTAATCTTAATTAAAATAAAAAAAAAAAGCAATGAAAAAACAATAAGTTCAATTAGTACAAATAACAACTTTACTATTATTCTGATACTATGATCGATGCCAGAATTTAAGGCATTCGGATATTTTTTGAATAACTTTCAATAGGAACAAGATAGAGATCTGCGATCTTCAACGTCCAATAGCCAAGACCTAGGAACATATTTTCATAAGCAAAATGGTTTTTGAAAAGAATTTCGAATACCGATTTCTTTGAGGATCTTTGGAAAATCAGGCTAGATTTCTGAAAATTGTCATAGTATTCTATTGATTTTTTACATGAATAGATGGCTTAGAGTGTTTTCTACAAAACTAGATTTACGCAAAAAGTTCTATCTTGCAAGATTTAGACGAATCAGGCAATTTTCTCAAAGCTTTAGGACTCTCCTTTCTCTAAATGTGACATTATTATAAACATCTGAAAACATAGGTTATCGACTATGCTGAATATCGTAGCAATATTTATTCTCATTTTAGAATTACTTTTTTTTTTTATTGATCATACACGAGCATTATTAATATATGGTGTTTTCTTATGAAAAAATACTCTTATGATGATTTATGCGGTCTTGTTGCTTGAATAGAATGAAAAATATGCAGAAAGACAATTATCTACTTAAAAAAATAGTTGAATCATCAGTTTCTTCTTCATCATCATCATCATTAAATATAATTCTAAAATGAGAATAAATATTGCTACGATATTCAGCATAGTCGATAACCTATGTTTTCAGATGTTTATAATAATGTCACAGCTAGAGAAAGGGGAGTCCTAAGGCTTCAAGAAAATTGCCTGATTCGTCGAAATCTTGCAAGATAGAACTTTTTGCTTAAATCTAGTTTTGTAGAAAATACTCTAAGCCATCTATGCATGTAAAAAATCAATAGAATACTATGACAATTTTCAGAAATCTAGCCTGATTTGCCAAAGATCTTCAGAGAAATCGGTATTCGAAATTCTTTTCAAAAACCATTTTGCTTATGAAAATATGTTCCTAGGTCTTGGCTATTGGATGTTGAAGATGGTAGATCTCTATCTTGTTCCTATTGAAAGTTATTAAAAAAATATTCGAATGCCTTGACTTCTAGCGCCGATAATAGTTTGGAAAAATCTCCGTGACTATGACTAAAAAATCATGGTCACGCGGAAGTCTAAATGAGAAGTAATCTTCATGCTTTGAAAGTCACACTAGGTTTTTGATTGATTTCAAACATTATAGCCAAAATGAATGAGCAGTAATTATCAAAATTAAAATTGAATAATTTTTGACTTTCTCTTAGTTTTCCTTGTAGGAAATAATACGATAAGACAAGTGTTCAATATTACCAATCTATTAAAATTTCGAAAATACTTATTAAGATTTGATCTTGTGATTCGAGTAGAACATTCAATAACGCATCTTTTTTAAAAGATCAACGTTTTATCATGTTCCTGAAACGAGTTACATGCAAAACAGCAAATGTCGCAAAATTTGTGTCACTGTCGGTATATTTTATATACGCATGTACACTAGTGAAATCACAATCTTGGTATTTAGTTTTCTAAGCTTTTGCGAATAAATAAATTTGAAAAGTTTGTAAAAATAGAAATGAAATTGAGAAAATTTAATTTATGTATCAAATGGTGGATGTTATTGAAAACAGTAAATTTTTGTATTTTGTTTAATGAACTTTTATTTGATAGAGCTAAAACTTTCAAACTAAGAAAGTAATCAAAGATGTACCTGTAATACAAATATGAAATTAGGACACAATGGTAGAGAGAAAAATATCCAGTATGTTATTTATTTTGGCTAAAGAAATATGTCATTACTTATTTAGAAACAAACATGATAACGAAAAACACAACATGAAAGGATACCATAAATAAAATATAACAAAGTAAAACATAACAAGAAATGGGAAGTAATTGTTACTTGAAAATCCTTCGATCTATTGATATTTACTAAGATAAATGTATAATCATATTTAACATTCTAACAAAGAAGGCATTCTTCTATTTTTCAATACCATTAATCTTGTTTTTGTTTAATGAACTTTCCTAAGGATTTATCGAACAGGTGCATATCACAATATATATAAACCGATTAAATTCAATAGATATGCATCAATCGATACATTTTACTACATAAGAATAACGTAAGTAAACGATATACATGCATTCTATTGTTTTTTTTTTATTTCGATTTTATGATTTAGTTTGGAAATAATAAAATGCGTTGGTATTGTTGGCTTATATTTTTTTTTGTCGCAAATCTTTCAATATGGGCTTTACCTACGGATGGTGATGTTGATGAAAAAAGTTTACTAGCTGTTGATAATGAAAATCGACTTTTAGTTGCAGAAGATGAAGGCAAAGTTGATGAGAATATAATTGGTGAAGATGAAAGTTTGATTATGACTGATGAATATTCTCGACTACGAAAACCACACAAACAAGAAAAAGATAAAGATAATGATTCATCAGAAAGCAACGATGATGAAGGCAACAATGAGGATGATAAAACAAATAAAAAGAAACCAAAAATGACAAAATTTATTTGCTTCAAAGAAAAATCTAATCGACATAAATTACGACGACGTCCTCAACAATCAGGTAATGTTTGAATTTAAAAATTTCTAAAAAGAAATTCACGATCTGTTATAGAAACACATCGACAACATCCATCATCATCATCATCAGCTAACAATTTATCACAACGCCCACATAATCAATAAAATCAAAATCAAGATGATTGTAAGACAACAGTTTGCAATTTTATTTCATTAATAAAAAATATCTTATCTATCTTTACAGCTAACACACATTGATCTAATAAATAATAACAATGATCAACATCTACAACCTTTTCATGGCTTATAAATTGTATACAAAAAATTTTTTTTTCATTTAATTGCTTTTTTTTATACAATACTATAAAATATATTTTAAAGTAGAATTTTCTCTATGAATAAAATATTCAATAGATTTATGAGATCTTTTATATTTTATTTATTTCTGATACAAAATCCATAGAAAAGAAACAAGTAGAGATTATATTACTATAAAATCTTACGATTTTTATCATTTGCTTTCTTTTGACAGAAAAATTAGAATGACAAAATTTTGAAGCTAACATATTGATGTATGGAGTATGTGATATTTCTTTCATGAATGAAACAAAATTACTGATTTCTTTTTCTAAAATGCAGAATTTCTCTAGACGAACCGATTTTTTATTTTATCAGTCAGCTTTTTCAAAAGTCAACATACTGAGTTTTTTTAAAGCAAAGTCAGTTCATTGAAATGTTGTTTGACGTTTGAATATAATAATTGATGTTATACAACAATAATGATGAGACAAAACAATATGAAAAATAAGGTATACTTCATATACTCAGGTGAATATGCGTATGTGAGACTGTGTTTACCATGCTATATATCCTATTAATAATCAATGTGATAAATGTGTTTAGATTTGTTTGTTTTTTTCGTTCTTCAACAAATAATTCACCTCATGAGAGATGAAATGTTTCTTTTTTTTTGTGTTTTATCATCATTATATATTGTTACACTTTTCAAATTAACAAACATATTCGGCTAATGTAATATTTTCTTTTATTTTTCAATAACTTGTATCGATTTTCTTTGAACCTTTTAATCTTTTTGCAAGAGATCCACGATTTAATAATGAGACATTAGCATATTTACAATTCATTGCACAGAATCCTCCACCACAAGGTAATGTTATCGAAATTGAAACAATGCGTCTATTTTTTGAAGATATACATCAAAAAATCAATGAAAAACTTCATGGAACATTCAGAGGTACAATAGAAGAAAAAATAGTGAAAACTAGTTCTACAGGTAGATTTCCAATTGTAAGAATAATTTCCTAAATAAAATAGTATGCATTTCAGAAATACCTATTACAATCTATACACCAATAGATGTTAATAAAGACAAATTAGTTGTTTATTTTCATGGTGGAGGTAAAATCATAAAGATAAATAAAAAAAATTCGGCTAATGTATTATCTATCAAATGTAATAGGTTGGGTTATTGGTAGTCGAAAAACTCATCAAACAATTGTTAATTTCCTAGCTGAGTACATATAGATTTATCTTAATTCATTTTATTTATATTTTTATATAGTGTGACAAAAACAATTTGGATTTCTGTAGAATATCGTCTCGGACCTGAATACAAATATCCAATTTGGCTTGATGATGCATGTGATGTTACTCAACATATTATTCAAAATAAAACGGCTTACGATTTATTGTCATTCAGAAAATCTTTAAAGATCTATTAATCATTATTTTAGGTGTTAATCAAACAACTAAAATTGGAGTTGCTGGAGATAGTGCTGGAGGCATGATTAGTGCTTCACTTTCTCGTTTATTAAAAGGCATCGATTTTCAAGTATAGATTTCTTCAATAATGATTAAATTCGATGATATACATTTTTTTTTAAAATAGATTCTTATTTATGCTGCATTAGATATCCTTGGTCAAACGCCATCTTATAAAGAATTTGCGCATCGAATGTATTTTCTTACACCTGAATTCATGAATTGGTATAGAAATTATTCGAAATTATGTATAATAAATAAAGTCACATTGTTTTTTTTAAAATTATTGAATAGGTTTTGTATGCATGCCTATCATAACTCGGATGATATAAAAGATCCTCGAGTATCTGCTCTACTCAATAGAACATTTGATGAATTACCACCGTGTTTATTTATAGTTGCTGATCTTGACATTCTTCGAGATGAAAATTTAGGTATGAAAAAAGATAAATTATTAGATTTTATAGGAAGTCTAATTTTCATCTTTTAGAATATCAAAAATTACTTGAAAAAGCTGGTGTTCAAACGAAATTAGTACTTATTAAAGGTGTCATTCATGGATTTTTTAGTTTTCCTGGTAGGACAACGAAGAAATTTTTGCTATAGAATTATTTATATTTTACTATTGAAATTTAGGAATTTTTCCACAAACATGTGCAGAAGCAATTGATGCTATTCGAGATTTCATGGCATCGATTTGATAAACAAAATACGAAAAAACACGTCCGTAATTTTTCTATATAAATTAGGAATAAATCGATTAATCATTGTTCTTATCATTATTTTATTTTTGTTTATGCATATTATTGTTTCTGCTTTGATAATCCTTCGTATACTTTTTTTTTTATTGAATTTTATATTCTTAATCTAATTTTATACAAAAGATACATAGAAGAATGATATTAAGTTCATTGTTTATATGAACTTTTGTGAAACACAGGAGCGTTGAAGTATAGGGGTAGAAATTTGGACCTTCCCTCTCCCACAGATCGTGACAGAGGTTGTTGATAAACTTTTACAGGCTATATATCAATAACGTCTCGTTATAATACATGAATAACTTCCTTATTATATTTCTGAAAAATTAAGTGAAATAGTAGTAAAGAAAGGTATCTCAATGGTGTAAAGCAATCCTCATGTGATTAGAGTTCGACGATTCCAATGATTACTCAGAATCATGATTACAGTTCGGTTCTCAAAGTATCACGTGGAACTGAAATCGTTACACTATTAGATAGATACGAAAATTTTAAATCTAGTTTGAAAAATTTTCACTATTAAATTGTTGAGATTAAAGATGACATATATTTCAGTACTTAAACAAAACAATATTATACATATATACTGAAATCTTTAATCTGAAAAATGAAAAAATGAAGATTTCTCAACATAGATTTGAGAACTTTGTATCTATCTAATGATTTAACGGATTCAAAATGTTTTTTTCCACGATTTCAATGTCAAGAAATTTTAAAAAATTAGCTACATCCTGTTTCATTTTTTAATCCAGTAGGAATTGCGCTAACATCTTTTTAATAAAATATCAGATAGAAAAATATATATCAAACAAAAAAAAAATAAGGCATGATTTATATTTATTCTAATGGGAAAAAAAAACTTTCAAGGATTCTACATGGGAACAGAAAAATTAACAATTAATTTGAATTGAATGTTCATCAATGGCTAATGGTAAAATTGTAATTGGACAAATAGCTTTTTCAATTCTATCAATTTTTTCATTAATATCATTAAGATTCGATTTGATAAATTTAATTTCTTGTTGATCTCCATCTTCAATTTCAATAAATTCATCGATTTGTTTTTGTAATTGATCCATATATTCACATTGTTTTCCGACATTTTCCTCAATATATTCAGTAAATTCTTGACGTTTTTGATCATATAAACGATCAATTATTATATAACTATTAATACGCCATTGTTTAATTTGTTTTTGAAAAGCTTTAATTATTTCCGGAATATTAAGTGTTTTAAATCGATAATTAACATGATGAATTTCGTTTTTTAATAGATTTAATTGAGAAATAATTGAATCATTATGTTCCCATAAATGTTGATAACAAAGATCTTGTTTACAACATTTACATAATGCTCGTTGTATATGTCTACAGTTGTCAATAACACATTTTTCAGACATTGATTGAGAATTTGCAGCATCCATGTATTTTTTTCGTTGAAAGTTTGTGAGAATATGATGAAATCAGAAAAAGAGAGAATTTCTTTTATTTTTTCTTAAAAAAAAACAATAGGCAAAGAGAGAGAGAGAGAGAGAGAGTTTATTTGTCTGAAATTATTAATTATTGACTATCAAAATGAATTGAATAATAGTAGATGTTTGTTATACTATGGTTTACATTGAATTAAAAAGAATGAATTTATTTTCTATGAACAGTATATTTCAAATCAAGGATGATTGAAAAAAAACAAATAAATAAAAAGTCTACGATATGAAATGATCTTTTGAATTATTTTATTATTAGTTTTTTCTCTTATATTCAATATTGAAAACGTATTTTTTTCTATAATGAAATTCTTGATATGTCTATCCTTGAACACTTATATAAGCTTTATTATAAAATTAAATTAAATCATATTATAATTAATTTGAATTTTCTACAATTTGAAAATCTTGTTCAGTGTAATAAATGATATTTTTTTTTTGTCAACATAGCAGGTACTAAATTAAATTTGAAGATCTTAAAAAAAAAATATCAACTCTCTAGATCTTTATGTATTGACTCAACAAAAATGAAAATACAAGTGGTTAGAGAATCCGTAAAATTGTTCAAGGACGATTAGTTCTATAGTTTCACTGTGCTTTAATAAACAACATACGATGAATAGATTTATCATTAGTAATATTTAGCATAGAGATGAAATTCAATATAAACAGTACAAATTTTTTTTCAAGAATAGATAACACTTACAAATTCGAAAAGTTCAAATGAGTAATTTCGGACAAAACAAGACTCGACTATCTTTCATTTGATTTAGAGTTTTTCCAAGGTTTTTTGCTTTGAACAAATGCTTTTACTATGAATATATGTAAAAATCCTCGCTCTTTAAGTGCATATCTAATCGAAATTTTATAGCTAATCAGTTAATTAGTGAAGCTGTAAATAGCGAATAATATTCTAAACTTACGATAGAAAAATTTTGTTTTACCATCATTTCGAAGTTTGCAAGAAGGAATTGTTTCATTTCTCTAGTCATACTCTATCACGTTGCTAACAACAAGGAAATTCAATTTCCTGAAAATACTAAACATATTCAGAAAAAAGAACTTAACTCACAGATTTTGTAACCTGAAAAATTTTCTATAAAACATACGATGTGCTTCTGAAAAATACTGTTTGAATTCAAAGTATTTTTAAACGAAAACGCATGTAATGAACATCTGTGTCTTGTTTTGTGTCACATCACTAACGCTGGAATGAAACGCACTGTTGATACCAAGCGTCATAATTGTGGATACATATATAAATACTTTTTTTCATCATGGTAATGCATGTTCAATTTTTTGATAATTTGTTTTCCTCTCCATGTATTCAGTTGCTTTGGCATATGGTTCATCATCATCATCCGTAGATGAATTTTCATTAAAAACGAAATCTTTTATTAAAACAAAATTCTTTTTCACTTCTATGATCTATTCTCAAGTACAATAAATTGTTCAATTATGATTGAATCGGTCTTTCACTCCTATACTTTTATATAAATAGCAGTTTGAAAAAGTAAAAATATTTTGCAACATTAAAAGATCTCATTAATCACCTAGTGGGGTTCGAGTATAAGATCATACTCGAACTCGACTCGACATTTTTTTCATGAGTAGTACCCGAGCGAGTTGCAGGATACTAAATGTTTTGTCTCTGAAAGTAAAACTAAGTGTATGAAAACACTTGCAATGAATAAATGAACTAATTAACTTCTTTAATTGTTCTTCGAAAAAAAAAAACAACAACATCGTTTGTTTTATTTTGTATTTTTTTATTTCAAAAGCAATTAACAAATATTTTTAACAGTGAACAAATAATTTTCTTTGTTGTCTTTCATAATATTCTTGATCAAATAAATTCATAATTGAACTTTGAATATCAATATCAATTTCTTCTAAATACCAACGTTGTTCTTTTATTAAAATCATATCCCAATGATCATGATATAAAAGCATACAATTAATAAATAAACGTTCATCATGTGTCATTAAATGAGATGATTTTGTTTCAGTTGGTATCAAATATCGATAACAAGTTTCATCTTTACCAATACGAATATATGGTATTTCATTATTAATAAAACCACATCGTCTTGTACTATCACCAATAACAAATTGTCGACCAAATTGATTTTTATAATTTGTTGTTAAATATTCAAGTGAAGATTTTTCAAATAATTGTACAAAACACATACCTTTTGATTTAAGAAAAATATCTAATGAAAGAAATTTTAATTGAAAATCTTGTGTTTTGGGATTTGGTAAACGTTTTGACATATAAACACTACCATGAATTGAATTCCAAAAGAAATTTTCTCGTGCTTGTTCACTTATAATATTATAAGCATGAGCTATAGATGAATCTGACGAAAAACAACGGATGCATGATGATGCTAAAAGTAAATATTGATGATAACGACTATGAATATCATTTAAATTTATATAGATTTTCTTATCATTGAAACATTTAATATATGGAAAAATAAATGAATCAATTTGAATAAAACCACCAGATTCTTCAACAATGGATAGATCAAGCTAATCAAAACAAAAAAAGAAAGATTCATTTAAATATTATTTAAGAATTAAAACAAAAATTATAAATATATCGTACACGTTTTTCGAAAAATAATCGTCGTTGTGCAATATTTGTTGATGAAAAACATAATGAATTCGATTCATTCGTTGATTGTCGATTTTGTCTATACGAAAAATTTATTTTTGTTTTCAAATACAATTCTAATCAATTGAACATTTAAAAAAAAAGTTAACATAACAAAAGTACAATGAATTTTTATAATAAATTCTCAAGTCTACAAATCTTCCTATTCAAATATCAATATAAATAACATATACATACACACTTTTCCATGGAGAATAATAGTCCGATACAAAGAATTGTACGAGACTAAACTTTGTTTGTCTTCGTCCCGGTAACTTCTATTTCAGTAGTGCCGACTTGGAGAAAACTATTTCAGATTCATTGTTTTATTCAGCGTGGAGACCGAGGGACAGTGCTTCTTCAAAGATCGAGTTTGCCCTTTCGTAGCTTGTGGTTTCTTGTGCCATGTACTTCCAACAATAGATGTGCCCTCTCGGAGTTTTCAATCGGTTTTCCGGAAGAGAAAACCTGAATAAAACACTGTTCAGATCTCTAAAAATCATATAGAAAATTTAACTACACTTTTTAATTCCGGTTCGAACAATGGATTTTTTTCCGTAGTCCTAATTAACACACATCTCTAGTTCGGTATCATAAGAAACGGATTTGAAAGATATTTGATAATAAAAATTAAATGAAGGTCACCTTTATTTTTTTTTTGAAATTATTGACAAAGTTAAATAATAATTCTGTGCTCGATATTGACAAAATGTTTTCATAGTAAGGTCATTGAGTAGTATAGTGTACTACTAACATCAATCTTTCACGTTTTCAAACTCAATCTGTAAGCTTCATATGACTTTTATTCACTACTATTTTGTATTCAATTCAAAAATAAAATTTGTTTACTATAGATGAATTCAAGAGGCTTGCAATAGAATTTTGTTCTTTTTTTTTGGATGATCATAAACATATACATCGAATAAATATATATATATATATATATTCTCAATTCAAGATATTTAATTTCAAATAGTGAATTTATCAATGCAATAGTCTGTTAGAAAAATATTTCCTTCATGTATAAATATGACAAGTGAAATGCATTACTAGAAAATAAATTTACTTTTCTATTTGATTTAAAACTAATTTTTCTTCAATTGTCCATCGTGATTTAACTTCTTGTCTCATTGTATGAAGAATTTGTTCCCATTTTTGTGTATTGAAATTATTTGTTTGAAAAAATGATGTCGAACAATCAAGTATACCAAGAAGACAATCAAGTAAAGCAACACTTAATAATCTATTTGACCATTCGGAATGATTTTCTGGTATAATATCAATAGTTGATGATAAAGAATTAATAAGTCGATCATAATAAGCAAGTTCATTTGATGTCATTTCAAGAATAGGTAAATTTTTTACCATATCTAATATAGGACTTATACGATTTGATTGATGTTGATCAAGTACATTTAATGCATATGAAAATCGAATATATGGAATATAATGATTAGTTGATAAACTTTAAAAAGAAAAAAAGCAAACTAAATAAATATCAATTCGTATTATTTCTATTACAAACCGAAAAAGTATTGGAATACGATATTGATAAAATGTAAGAAGACCATAATGTTTTCTATGTGATGGTAAATCAATTGGACGTAATGGTGATAATTGTATTTGTTGAGAATAAGATGATTTAGTTAATAGAATATCATTTAATTCATCATCAAAATTAAAATCATTAATAGTTTCTTGACAAAATAAATGACCTTCATTTTCAATAAATTCAAATGGATCAGTATTTAAATTAAATATATCCATTTTTGTGTTATATCTTTTTACTATAAAATACTTAATAGATAAATATTCATGAATGAGAAAATATATTTCAAGATTAGTAAATCGAAGAAAATAGAATAGAGACAAAGGCACATGGTCAATAAAGAAGAAGAAGGAAGAAGAGAAAATAAAATAAAATAAGAATGTAAATTAACATATATAATTTAAAGAAATAGAAATTTTAATTTTGATATATTATTTAAATTATATTTTAAAATCTACAAAGTCTATAAATTATGACAGTTTTATATCAATTGTAGAACTAAAATTTCATGGAATTTTTTATTCTGAATATGAATAATATGTAGCAATCTTGGAATATCTAAACAATATTTCACAAAAGATACAGAATGAAACAAAGAAATATATAATGATTATTACGTAGATCATTTGTGCTCATTTTGACCTTTAGATAATTCAAATCTTTTCATATAGTCTAACAAACTGAAATCTAGTAACAACCATGAACATGAAATCAATTGAAGTCTTTACTTGATGATTGAAATAATACAGATTGATTCTAAGTGATTATAAAAATTATAAACAATTTGAAGATTAGAATAGAGAAAGAAATCAAAAATGATTAAAAATAAAGCATTGGTGAAAATCTTTCATTTATTATTTTTTTTGTGATGAAGTCTATAATAAGTTTTTAGCTTTAATTTTATTGAGAAAAATGCAAAGAACTTTTCTCTCATATCAATAGTGAACTTGTGTACGGATTTACTTTCGTTTAATTGATTTTGCATATATATTTGTGGCATACAAATTTGTTGTATGATTACATTCTAATATGTAAAATGTCAATGTTTTGAATTGTTTTCAAACACATTTTATGAGTTTTGCAAATTCAATTCCTGTAATAAGCTCTCATTATCAGACAAAAAAAAATTACGGATTACTGAGCGTGCAAGATCTAATAGATTGATTTTTATTGTCAACTACCGTTAAAACATATTGAATAAGAGATTTCTTCTTTTGCTCATTTGACTTGTGGAAGTTTGTATTTATCAAATATAAGCCTGATTAGTGTCTTTATCATAATGTTTCTCATAATTTTTTTTCTAAGTATTAGATGTGCAGACAATGTTCGGTTATCTTTCATGTGAGATTAGAGATAATCTTAACATTGAAAAATTTATATAAAAATAATCATGGAATTATTGAATGAAAGTCAGTGTTGTGATCCGTACATAAAACGTGCTATTGAGACAAATCTATTAAAGATATTATCCATATATGTTCATTCTCTTTCTTTTTGTACATAAACATGTTGTTAACTATAGCTATCTCTTTTCTTTCGTTCTGTCAGGTATTTTTCCTAGTATGTTCTCTCAATTTCTTCCTTTACTGTCTTTCTTGCTTTGATACGATAAATCATGTATTTTTCCAACTTTATACTATATATTGAATCAGTACTTATCTTATCTGTTATTAATCTTATTGCGAGCTGATTCTAAACTGTGCTTTATGGAAGCCGATTGGTGCAGATTAACGTCATATCATGAATATACAGCATTAAACATCCGCTTTCATTCATTTAGTTTAGATTCACCAAACTTCGCAGATAGAACGAAACTTGGTAAATAAAATTGCAAAGATTTTGAGACGAGAGAGAAATTTGGAAGAGTAAAAAAAAATTTAGAATAAATATGAGTAAGATTGGCTCGAGGCAGCCAACTTTTGAGGGATGTCGTGCTTTTTTCACAAAGGAAAAGCTTTTTTTTCTCACCGAATTCAAAAAAAAGAAAATTTGCAGTTCTGCTAGGAAAAAATGAAATTTCCTATGAGTGGAGACATATCACAATCCAACATCCACTGATTAGACCAGGACTGTTTTTGAGAAACATCCAACTAGAATCAAAGAGACTGAGCATTTCTAAATAGTTTCTATCAATATTAGAATATTTTTTTTCTCTCAAATATTATTGTAATTTCTTCTTCCAATGAGAAGATCCATTGTAAATAATTATAAAAATTTCTATTTTTATTATTCTTCTATAATCGTTAATATAATTCAATTTATATCTGTTATCGACGAGATAACTTCATTTGTCACAAATGCAATTAATTATGCGTCAATAAAAATTATGAAAGAATTAGAACGCCGCATAAAACTGAATTATGAACAAACACTTAAGCAATTTTTTCGAGAAACTCTAATTAAAATTAATCGATACTTCTACAAGACTATTTCGCCATTTTGACCTTTCACAGTTTATTTGGGTTTTTACAACGCGATTCTAGTTAGAGAAAAATCAACAAAAGGAACTAGAATGTCTGTACTCATCAAGTTTACGTATCGTATATGCATTTTGGACAAGTGATAAATACACGACATTGATACTATATTGGGAAAAAAATCATTACAATACAATTATAAATGAAGATTTTAAAAAACATACCATTTAAATGTGACTCTTGAAGTCTTAGACTATCAACAAAGCTAACAGGTCAATTTAATGGTGATATTTCGAGATCGAATTTACTATAAAACAATGAAATTCAGACGAAAAAAATATTTTGTCTATTTGTTGGGTAGCAATGACTCATCAAATGAATTTAGGTCTCTTGACATTCTTCTATTTACATTGATTGCAATAGAAAATTTTGAGAAAATCGTCGTCTATACTACAAAGATTTATACATAAATATCTATATTATTTTTAATCAGAAAAATAATTTATTTATTTTTGACTTTTCTTTAACTATAAATTCCAAATGTTTACAATTTTCTCTAATTCTTTTTTGTCGATCGAGTACAACTAGAGAAGAAAATATTAGATGAAACATAAACTAAATCGATGGGTGAGGAAAGGAATCTACACTCTTTTTTGTATCCATATTTTTTAATTGTATGCGGAAGAATAAAATTTCGTGCCATAAAAAGTTTCATTTTTGTACTACGAAATATAATTAATCGAACAAATATTTTGAAACTATTCATTCGAAATGAATAGTCAAACAAATAATCAAAAGACCTTTTCAATAAAATATTTTCATCAGAATTTGCAATATAATCTACTTTGATATCTCTTAGATAAATCTATCAATTTATATTAGATGAGTTTTTTTTTTGTTTTTGTAGTTTATTTAAATATTTAATACAAAAAAAAAAAGAAAACGATGATACAGAAAATTGATTAATTACTGTTGTTCTTTCGCTTTGAAATAATCACCTATATACAATTAAAAATAATTTATTTATATTTAATTTTTTGTTTTTACCTAATTTCTCTATAGCTTCAATGGCAATTGCTGGATTCATTCGATCATTAAATGTACCAAAAAGAATATAAACTTTTGTTTTAATTAAAATCAATCCTCTATTGTTCTATACAAGATAGATTATACAAATAATTTATTTCAAATATTGAACAAAAGAAAAACAAACTTTCACTCACTTCTTTAGCATAGATAGCTTCGTTATCAGCTCGAATACATGTATAATAGACTTCATTAAAATAAAGACCTTTTTTACGTAAAAGTGTTGGTTGATTGAATGCATTTACAAGTGTATCAACATCTGATTGTTCAAGCTATTGAATAGAAAATAAAAATTCGTCTTGTTTTCGAAATCTATGTACACACTTTATAACCAACAGATGTTGTCTTTATTTGACTAGTATCACGTATAAGTAAACCACATTTTTCAATATGACCTGAATCAATCAATGCTGTATGTAGTAAAACTTGAAGTTGATTCATGATAATAATCGATTAGTTGGCCCGTTATTATTATTATTATTATTATTATTATTATTATTATTCTCATATTTCTTTTTTCTTTTTCTTTTTAATAGTAATGGAAGCAGCCATAGTCATGGATGTCGCGCTGACTTCAACCTCCTTTTTTTTTTCTTTACAATTATTCTATTCTAAAAATTGAGACATTTATGTAAGTAGTCCTTCGATACCACTAAATTGCAATCTTCTCCATTGAACATAGCAACCAGCAAGGACAAAAAGAAAATAATTGTGTCATTAAGAACGTTCGTTCAATGAATAAAATGTCAAGTTTTTTTTCACACTTAAATCTTCTTGTTAATAATATGAAATGACAATGTCATAGAAAGAAAAAAACAAAAAAGAAATAATATATGTTGTTTTAAATATGTTTCGACAAGGACAAGACAGTTAATGAGACTATTAAAAATGTTTCTTGTGTGCATATTGAAAAATCCAGAGGAAAATACATCACACACTATTGTTATATCATTGAAAATTTAAATTGACAAAAAAGCAAAAATTGGGAGAACTGCGTAGTACTCCACTGAGTCATAGGAAAAAAAAAACTATTTTCTTGATGAAAACTATATCCCATTCTTATGTCCAGAAAAATTTGGACACAAAGTAGAATTATAATTATGTAAAATAGGACGGGTTCAAGCAAACAATTTCCATCACACACATAACATGCACGAGCGTGGTACAAACTATACACATCAACCATAAATCACGATATACAATAAAAGAAGAAATAAGTCACTACATGAGTAAAAATGCTAAGCGAACACGAAAATGTGTTGCTGAACGACAAAAAGAAAAGAAAAGAAAAGAAAAATCGAAAACGAAAATTTGTCTGTAAGTAAAATTCTAAACATAATTTCAAATAAGAAGATGACACGTCAAAGAAAAAAAAGAAAAACAATCTAAAGATAATGATAATAATAATAATACCAATATCAAGAAACCACACGAGACAATAAATTAGTCCTATATTATTCTTGATATGACAATATAACATTTATTTCGCAGCTTGTTTAGCTCGACCACGACCTGTACGTTTTCGTCCAGTTGTACTTTTACCTTTCTGTTTATTACCAGCAGTCCGTTTAATATAAGCTTTACCTTCCTATTAAACATAAGCATTAAATTACAAAAAAAAAAAAATAGTATTAAGAAAATATTTACACGTGCTGTATTAGCCATTGTACCAAGTCGTTTAATTCCTGGTCTACGTCCAGTTGTTGGTTTAGTTACTTCTTGAAGAGTTTTTTCAGCTTTAACAGCTGCTTGTCGTCGTTTAGTTTCTGCACGTGTATCACCAAGAACTTCTTTACCAATTAATGTTTTAGCTTCCTTCGAAAATCAATAAAATTCAATAATATATTTTTTTAATGATTTACTTTAACATACTTTTGCTGTAGTTTTCATTGTACGTGCTTTTGATAGTTTAGGTTTAGCTTTTGTTTTACTTGAAGACGTTGTTGTTGCACTACTACCAGCAGCTGTACTCGATGCAGTTGTTGTATCATTAACATCACTTGTATCTGATTTATCACGTGCTTCAAGTAAGGCATTAACTCGATTTAATTTATCTTCACCCCATGCTTGTTTTAAAAATTCTTGACCAGCCTAAAATAAATCAATAAGAAAAAGAAAAATAAATAATAAAAATAAAATAAATTCTTTTGTTATTCTTACAGCTGCAGTTGCTGCCATTGTTCCAGATTTTTTTAATGATGCTTTTGCGGCTTTACTCTTTTTAGGAGCCATTGATTTGCTCTATTTGCGTTTATGCGTGTACGCGTGTATGAAAAGTGTAATAATAGTAGAACGAGAAAAATGAATGAATATATGTCGAGAATATGTTTACCTAGAATAGAATATAGATATATATACATACATAGAGAGATAGAAATTTACAATATTAATCATTCAAAATTATGATTTTTTTTACAAAATATATTCAAATCAAACTGTATATATCAATTCCATAAAAAATTTGACGTTAATATCTATCGTTCAAGGTGAGATTTCATATATTTAGGCTTGTTATGCGTAATATCTCGTTTTTTTTTGCCTATACACGTAAACGAGTGTATGTGGGCACCGATAAAGTCAATAGAAAAAGAAAGAAAGAAAGAAAGAAAAAGAACAAAAAAAATGTCAAAATGGTAGCCATCATCAAAATTCTTCTCTAGTTTGGTCCTCTATATTGCTGTTATATAAGACAATTAAACATGTATTAATTAAAAACAAATAAGAATATTCATTATCATAAAAGTCTACATTGAGAAATAAATGTAAAATTAAACGATATTACTCTCTTTTTTTTGATTTAATAAATGTTTTATGACGAAAAGAAAAAAATCTACGCTTATTTTTCTTTCTTAAATTACTCTTCAAATCGATATCGATAACATTTTATGTATAGGTTACAAAAAAAAAAAGATAGAAGACTTAGTCAAAGCCGATTACATATTTAGATAATAATTGTTGTAGTATAGTTTTCCTATTATCACCTCGTTAGAAGAGTATGTCATACAATATAATCAACTGTGATAAATAATTCAAATTATATTTTCAGTTCACAGAATATTCTTTCATAAATAAAATAGAGAGAGAGAGAGTAAATTATATGCTTGAATAAATCAAAATACAGTAGTTTCTTTTGTATTAAAGAAAAAAAATTTCTCAATCATTAATCGTAACGTATAAATCTAAAATTGTTTGTCAGTTACTTTTTCTTTTTTGTTTGCAAATATGAACACACTTAATATTCAAGTGTGACATGCTTATCTAGAATTTAGATAACTATAAAATATTTGTTTTCGAAAGATTTCATCGTATGTCGACATTTTAATATTTAAAAAAAAAAAAAAAAAAAAAAAACAAAACCATTGAAAAACTTCTATATTGACTCAAAACTTCGTCTAACTATCGAAGTGACTCACCTAAATTATTATAGATGAAGATTTGAATCTATGTTAAAAGGCGAAAGTGTATGTTGACTCTTCTATATAATATTCTAGTAGGGTTATGAGGGGTTGTAAATTATGTAAGAACTCGCGATAACCAACAGAACACAAAGAAAGTCAACAAAAAGGGAAAAGAATATAAGATAATAGAGAACGTGCATTTTCATCGTTCTATCGGGTACATCACACGCAACACATTATTTTTATATTAGTATTTTCAATAGTTAAACGAAGATGACTGATGTTCAGAATACTACAACGGATTCAAATGTTCAGAATACTACAACAGATTCAAATGTTCAAAATACTACAACAGATTCAAATGTTCAAAATTCTACAACGGACTCAAATGTTCAGAATAGTACAACGGACTTAAATGTTCAGGATAGTACAACGGATTCAAATGTTCAAAATACCACAATGGACTCAAATGTTCAGAATAGTACAACGGATTCAAATGAGCCAACAATAAAACTCTATTGGTTAAGTGAAAGTCGTGCTGATCGAATAGTACTTTTACTTGAAGAATTAGAAGTACCATATGTAATTGAAAAAATTGAACGTGGACCCGATAGACTTGCACCACCTGAATTAAAAAAGATTCATCCATTAGGGAAAAGTCCTGTAATCAAAGATGGTGATAAAGTTATTGCTGAATCTGGTTTTATCATTGATTATCTTATTGAGAAATATGGTAAAGATAAAAATTTAAAACCAACAAATAGCGAAGATTTATTTCATTATAATTATGTATGTTAGATTTTTTTTTTATTGATAAATATTTTCAAAAAAACAAAATAATATTTTTCAGTTTTTACATTACATCGAAGGTAGTTTAATGTCTATCCTTGTTATGAAATATGTCTTTCTTACTATACAAAAACAAGCACCATGGATAGTCAAACCTATTGTAAATGGTATTTGTAATAAAATGGATGCTTTGTATTTGAGACCAAATATGAAAACGCATATGGATTTTCTTGAAAGTGAATTAGGACAAAGAAAATGGTTAGCAGGTGAACAATTTTCTGGTGCTGATATTCAAGTAATTGAATTGACTTTTGAAAATTATAATTTACTATTATTATTATATATATATATATATATATATAGGCCGGTTTTGCATTGGAAATGCTTATGAAACTATCAAATGTTAATGAAGAAGGAGCAACAAATATATCTAGATATTTAAAAGAAATGCATGAACGACCAGCTTACAAGCGAGCAATGGAAAAAATTGGAAAAAATAATCAATAGTGAATAAAAATATTGACAAAAAAAAATAATAAATGAACAAAATCAAATAAATTCAATGTCTGATTAAATAATAAACTATTTCATATATGATGAGAATATCTGCTCAATTCAGATTCTAGAACAAAAGAGAATATTTATAAAGAAGTATTATCAATAAGCTTTATTGTAGTTAGAAATTTCTGTGTTTTGAAAAATGTTCACTCCCCCAATTCATACAAAAATTCCATAAAATCCTATTTATTGTAATTTCTCTTGTCATTTATCTGTTCATTAGTGACATCTATACACATTCTTTTATTTTCATTTCAGCCATTTGTCCTGTTTTGTATAAATAATAATAATAATAATATTATGTTATTTTCTATTTGTTGGTCTGTTAATCGTATCTTTTTCTTATAATAAATAAAAAAAAAAAGTTCATCTATACCAATGGATATAAATCATTGAAATTAGTTGTATTTATTTTCTCAACTGATTATATCCCATGTTTTAAACTTGTCATGTCTCAAAAATATTCAACAAATGAAAAATTAAAAAATAAAAATCCTTCATCTCCATTAAATCCTAATGATGAACAACGTTATTGTATATGTCAAAAACGTGAAGATGAATTAAATGATGATGATAATAATGATTTTATGATTGAATGTGATGGTTGTAATGGTTGGTTTCACGGTAAATGTGTAGATTTAGCTGATCGAATTGCTGGTAAAGTTCTTTTTGATTTCTTAGAAAAAAAAAAAAAGATTTCTAATTTATTTTTAAAATAGATGATATTGAAAAATATTTTTGTAATGAATGTTCAAAACAATATGGGCCTTCAATTTGTAAGAAAAACAAAAATAAGAGAATTACAGGAAAAAAAAAACACGTTTCAAAAATTTTTATTTTAGTTAAACAACAAAGAAATCAACATCGAAGAGATTATAGTGATGCAAATGCTGATAATAAAGTAAATTAAAAAATTTACATAAAGATAAAATTCTTTTTTTTTCCTTTCTATAGCCAACACAATCTGGTACACCAGATTTTATTAATAAATTAAAACGAAAAATATTTCCAAAGTAGCAAAAAACTAATAATAATTTTCATTTGAATATAAATATAATCTTTTTTTACTTTTTGTATATTTTATAGTTGTGATTCTGTTATAACTCGTTTAAAAGGCAATCAATTAACTACTGAATATGTAGTAAAAAATGGTTTTACAAAACCAATATTAGTTACAAATCGAGATGGTCTTGATATGTCATTACCAAATCGAGCAATAACATTAGCAGAAATAAATGATTTTGTTGGTATGAAAAGATTAATTTTAATTTATTTTTTTTTCTTAAAATAAAAATTGACTTATTATTTAGGACATGACCGTTTTATTGATATAATTGATTGTGAAAAACAAGTGACTTATAAAATGGGTTTAGATGATTATATTGAATATTTTGAAAGTTTTGAAAGAAATAAAATTTATAATGTTCTCAGCTTGGAAATATCAAATACTAAGTATGTATTACATACATTCGAATAGAATTATTTAATATAAATATTCTCAGAGTTAATTGTTTTCTTCTAAATTCTAAGATAATTTGAGTAGAAGATAAGATGCATCAACTCTGCGTATGGTCATACGTACTTGATGGTAAACAACATAATTGTCAATAAATAAAATATGGATTAATAAGAATAGAAAATAGAGATCATCGAGTTATATTCTAAAAGTAACAGCTAATTATAATAAGATGGTTGTCTGAAAAATATGTAGAGTGTGTTAATTGATAGAAAGTATTTCGCATCTTCAGAACGACTTGAAGGCTGACATTTTTGTTGAAACTAGAAGTATAATTCGGGTCCGGATTCAAAAAAAGATGTAAACTAACCGTTCATTATTTGGCATTTGATATTCACTACTTTCACAAGTAATGAAATATAATTTCTTGAAGTGGAACTAGTTTAACAAGAAAGAAAAGATTTCATCTTAATTAAGACTTGTTAGAGCAGACAATATGATATTTGTTTTACTGGATAGAAATGGTTGTCCTATGTTGACTTCTAGTTTGAATAAGATAGTTTATTTCAACAACAGTAAGTCTCTTTTTCTAAGAGACAAAAAAAATCAATGATCAATTTGGTTTAATCATTCTTTCAATTTGAATTATATGACTTAAACAAAATAACTTCTAATTAGATCAAACTATTTTCATAAATATCATTTCTATTCATACTTTATATTATGATTTACCGATCGATGGTTGAATAGATCTAACATTTATTATATCTCGAAAATTATCTTTCTTTCTTTTTTTTTTGTTAAATTAAGATTGGGTGAACAAGTTGTAACACCACAAATTGTTCGAGATTTATCATGGGCTACAATTGGTGTATGGCCAATTAAGAAACAAGAAAAACAAAATGATGAAGAATTAAATTCAAATGAAAATCAAAAGAAAACAATATGGCCATTACAAACAATAACATCATTATCAAAAAAGAAACGTCGAACAGTTTCATCAACAGATACAGATCAAAGTGATGATGAACAATATGATGGAATAGAAGCAAATCATTTTGAAAATTTTGAACGTCCTGAAGTAGCAAAATATTGTTTAATGAGTCCACAATCATCATATACAGATTTTCATATAGATTTTGGTGGTTCAAGTGTTTGGTATTCTGTTGTTCGAGTAAATTTTATTTTATTGATTATTTTCTTTTTTTTTTTTTTTGTTGTTGTTGTCCTTATATTAATAAAGTTTTGTTTTGTTTTGTTAAGGGTGAAAAGGTATTTTATTTAATTGAACCAACGGATGAAAATTTACAAAAATATGCTGATTGGTCAGGATCACCAAATGAATCGGAAGTATTTTTAGGTGATTGTGTAACACATTGTTATAAAATGCATTTACGTGAAGAAAATACTGTTCTTATACCACCTGGGTTTGTTAAGTTTTTTGTATAAAGATCTTATAGTATGAATTATTCATAATTTTTTTTCTAGATGGATCCATGCCGTTTATACAGTGACTGATTCGCTTGTTTTTGGTGGTAATTTTCTTCAATCACTGGGTGTTGATATGCAACTTCGGTAAGTTTATGTATAAACTTTTAACGGGGGATTAAGTCTGAAGAAAAAAAAAGGCTACAGAAAATGAACTTTTGTTTTTTTGTCTAAAAAATACATAGAGATGGATATGAAAAATATAATTAATCTAATAAGTATGAAATAGTGTATTGATTATTTTTGATGGATTGTTTTCTTAAATTCGATTGTGTTTGACAACGAATTATTGTGCCTTGAAAACAAGTCTACCAACAAATTATTTGATTAATGATTAGACTCCTTTATATTGATTACATTTTTCTTTTTTTCACCATGCAAAGATTTGTATTATTACATTAATAAAATTTAAAATATAGATTTTCCTTGATATATCTCAATTGAAATATTCGATTTCTATGATATTCAAAGCTTAAGATAAATCATACGGAAATAATATTAGAAACAACATTGCAATAGTAATCACAATACTAGTAAACTATCTAGCAATGAGCAATTGCATACGGTTCGAAAAGTTATTGGGTACAGATTTGTTGAAAATAGTGAAAATTACTCATAATTCAAAAATTCTTGGCTATGCCATTGTACAACATTGGTTTACTATTGAAACTTATTTTTTTTATTATTTTGTTTTAACTAATAAAATCATTTGTATCAGTATGTATCGAAATTGAGTCCCATTCCATTGTAGATATTGAATAAATTATTCAATATTTTCATGAAAGCTTTGAATATATTGATTTAAACGAAGTGCTACTTTCATAAATATGCTTAGTACGATGGTGATGTTTGTTAGTGTGTCAAATGTTAATGTAAGCATATTTTATGCATTCTATTTGATACAATTAAACATCTACTAAGAATATTATAAGACAATATCTTCTACATTTTTATATTATTCAGATTGAATATGATATCTTCTTGAAATTTAATAATATTGAACATACTTTTTTGCTAATGTAAATTCGTTCATCATGAATAGTTTTTATTTTACCCTGAACTGAAAGATATAATGCAGTATAATATTTCTATATGTCATTATCAATAGAGATGAAGGTCTTTAATCGAATGATAGTAATAAAATTTTTAATATTTGAGCATAACATCCTTTGATTTCTCAATTTCTTCAATCATTTCACTTATATCTTTACTATATATGACCTTAAATTTAATATGATGTTTTAAAAATGGTAGATCAAACAAGTCAATGTAGATAACATACTGCATATACATAAAATATGCACGACCATGAATAGTCACTTTGTATTCGATTGATATAAGATAATATTATATAACTGAAAATGACAAATTGAACCTTTGAAGAAAAAAAAAAACCAATAACTACGTTTATTTGATTGATATTTGTTGATACGATCAAGGTATTTCACATCTCTCATGGATCAAATTGACCTTCGTCTTCTTGAAGAATTATTCTCTAGTTAGATCAAGAAATGACATATCAATGCAATAAAATTGTAGACATCTGATATGCAAGACTTACTTCAAAAACCGAAACTAATCTATTTTCGTTAATACTCTATTGAAGTTTGAGTATATATCATAATTAATATGATACTAATGATCTAGAAAATTTAAGCAAGATTTTACACATAATTTGATTTGAAGAATATATCTAATCTTATAATATAGATCTTTGCATTGTCAAAATATTTTTTTTGTTGTATGTTACATTAAAAAGAATTAAAACTTTAAAATTTTTTGAATATATTATATTTATTTATTTATTTTAGCATTTATGAGCTTGAACGTCTTGCACAAGTTCCAAATAAATTTCAATTTCCATTATTTGAAACATTTCATTGGTATGCTGCTAAAACATTTTATGAAGAACTTAAACGTAAAATTTATTTATTTATTTTTTTGCATATTTTACTGTTTTTTTTAATAACAATAATCTATTATAGAATGTAATGAAACTAATGCA